GTGTGGTCGCAGTTGGTGAACATGTTGAATAACCAATGGTTCCTTAAGAATTCGACTGAGCGCGCAGATTTCTTACAACCAAGAACAGGTCAATTACCAAACAATTGGGCTGTTTTTGTTCACCATCCTGCGATAATGCTGGGTCCTGTTTCACAAGAGAGCGCCCCGTGTTCCCCCCGTCCTTCCTCCCATCTTCGCCTCTGCCTCGTGCGCGCCAGCAACTGCGACTCGCGGCGCCTAAATGATAGGGATCGCATGCGTCGCCCTGCCCACCGCATGTCAATTTCGGGGCACCCTTCAATCGCTTTGTGGTTCCATGTCCCAGTGGGAGTTCCACCGAAGGCACCAAGTGGCAGGGTTCACATGCGGCCACCCGCCCGCCGCATGTCATTTATGAGACAGCCTTCAAACGCTTCGTGGCCCCATAGTGTTCTCCACCGAAGGTGGCAGCGGCAGGGTTAACATGTGGTCACCCGCCCATTCATGCAATTTCGGCACACTTCACACACGCTTCGTGGCTCCACTAGGAATCGGAGCTCCACCGAAACTTCAGTTGCATGTATCACATGCGGTTCCCCGCCCACCGCTTGTCCATTCCGGCACACCCATGACACGTTTCGTCTTCGTGGCCACATAGGGAGCTCCACCGAAGATCCCAGTGGCAGGGTTGTCGTGCGGTTCCCCGTCCACCGCATGTCCATTTCGGCACCTCTTGCACGCGCCGTGGCCCCACCAGGAGCTTCACCGAAGGCCCCAATGGCAGCGCCTGCGTGCGGCCATTCCATTGTGGCACACCCCTGACAAGTTTCGTGGCCCCGCAAGACGATTTGTTACGTGACAGTCGATATTTATATCCCGGCGACGCCGACGATGTTTGAAGGATTGCGGCATGCACGCGCGACCACGCGTGCGTGTGGAGTTTGTCCAAAGTGTTGCAAAGGACTATTTGAATTGGGTGGTTGATCATAAGCGAGCGCGTTCGGACAACATAATATGTTCGGGTCGAACCGGGCTTGGCTGGGATGTCAGCCCGCGCATGCTCGCGCGCGCAGCGGCCAGCTACTTTCCCGCGACCGACACGGCCGCGGTGGCACAGATCGCTGGGCATTTCCCACCACGCACTTCACTGCGAGTCGGTGAGTTCGGCGGGCGCGGTGTCATGGCGACGTTGTTAACAGTAGACACGATGATGATGGTAGTCGTGATGACGACGATGATGACGAAGACGACGACAAGGCCACTGACTGCGCCGATGTTGACCCCGCGAATGTTGATGACAGTGTCTTCGCGTCGATGATGCACGTTTTGGACGGAATTCGACATGCGCGCGGGGCCGACCCGCGCGAGTGGCCCGCATATTTTATTCGACAGGGATTGCCCCCCAGAAAGCACGCAAGGGCGTTCGAACGATTTCGACATGCGGCGCGAGAGGGACGCTTGGTAGCAAGTGACGAACATGCTGAACAAATTCAGTTTGCGTGAGCGCAGGCTTGCGCAACAGATGTTGCAGCATCGTGTGGATCATTTGTGTTCGGGAGCGCTCGATGTTGAATTTTTTACGAGGCCTCAGTTTTTTGAGTATTCCAGCATGCGCGCGCGACGACGCGCGCGTGGGCACGTTGCCCCGCTTTTGCGTTGCAAGGAAGCCTTGCGACAGCACGCGGACAAGGGCGTTCGAACGAATTTCCCATGCGCGCGCGAAAGGCACGTTTGGTAGCATGTACTGACAACATTTAGGCGCCGTCTTCTTATTTATAAAATGATTCGCAAGAGCGCGAACGCATGTTTTGGAAATGCAAGTTAATGTTGCGAAACCGCATGTTTGTTATGCGTTTTCGGGGCGGCCGATGTTGACAACCTTACGAAGTCGAAGTTTTTACCTAACAGCTTGTTCTGATAGGTTTCTAGTGGTGTCAAAAGAGAGCAGCAGATGACTCCACAGGGGGGTCTGGGCGGGTGCCGGACAGGGTGCCGCAGAAGTCGTTTTAAGCCAACTGTCACACACTTCGTGCTCTTCGACCTCCAGAACTCCATTCCCGGGCCACATTCTGAATGCCCGGAGCCAACTGTAGGCCACTTCGTGCTCTTCGACTTCCCAGAACTCCATTCCCGGGCCACATTTTTGATGCCCGGAGCCAACTGTAGGCCACTTCGTGCTCTTCGAGTTCCCAGAACTCCATTCCCGGGCCACATTTTGAATGCCCGGAGCCAACTGTAGGCCACTTCGTGCTCTTCGAGTTCCCAGAACTCCATTCCCGGGCCACATTTTGAATGCCCGGAGCCAACTGTAGGCCACTTCGTTCTTCAAGTTCCCAGAACTCCATTCCTGGGCATGATTTTGAATGCCCGGAGCCAACTGTAGGCCACTTCGTGTTCTTCTAGTTCCCAGAACTCCATTCCTGGGCCACATTTTGAATGCTGAGGCAGGCTGATGCTGCGGCCGAGGCAGGCTGAGGCTGAGGCAGGCTGAGGCTGAGGCCGAGGCTGAAGGCAGACTGAGGCTGAGGCTGAAGCAGACTGAGGCTGAGGCTGAGGCAGGCTGAGGCTGAGGCTGAAGCAGGCTGATGCTGAGGCAGGCTGAGGCTGAGGCTGAGGCTGATGCAGGCTGAGGCTGAGGCAGGCTGAGGCTGAGGCCGAGGCTGAAGGCAGACTGAGGCTGAGGCTGAAGCAGGCTGAGGCTGAGGCTGAGGCAGGCTGAGGCTGAGGCAGGCTGAGGCTGAGGCTGAGGCAGGCTGAGGCTGAGGCTGTGACTGCGACTGCCGTTGCCGCTGCGACTGTCATCGCGAATGCGACTACGACTGCGAGAACAGCAGAATTCTACAACTAGATTTTCATCTGAATCTTAAGGGGAATGCTTTCAGATATGCTTCTACACATCGCTGTTAGGTTGCTTTGCCGGGATAATTGGAACGATTACGGCATGCGCGCTCGACGGCGTGCGCGTGCCAATTTCGTCCCAATTCTTGGTAAGAGTTGCTGAAAGCTGCGGGTCGGTGATAAACGAGTACGCCCGCATGGCAGGTTTCCAGCGGATGGACATGGCGGTCCATAAAGCATTGAATGGGACGGTACGACTTAATTCATGTAGGATGGACAAGCGCACCATATTTTTGAACAGGCAACAGAACCCCCCCAACAAAAGGGGGTTATGTTTGGGGGGAAGTCGTTCCTACCATTCGTTTGGGAAAAAACTATTTTGGTTCTGCACTGTTGTGTGCAGATGTGTGGTGCAAAATGTGCGGCATGGACGTGGCGGCGACGGCGACAACATTGCCGCCAGACCACCACACAGGCACACGAAACGGGCAACCATGGGGCGGCGACGGCGACAACATAGCCGCCAGACCGCCACACAGGCCCACAAAACGGACGGCGACGAGGCGGCGACGGCGACATCATTGCCGCCAGACCGCCACACAGGCCCTGACGACGGGCGGCGACGGGGCAGCGGCGGGGCGGCGGCGGTGACAACACAGCCGCCACATCGCCACAACGGCCCAGACGTCCGGCGCCGACGAGGCGGCGTCGGTGCGGCGACAGCGACAACACAGCCGCCAGACCACCACACAGGCTCAGTTTTGCAGTAAGAAGTAGGAGCTCCGAAGTGCAAGCTTTATCTGGGAATCTCACCAGATATATGGTGAAACATTGAAGGGGAAGGAGAGCGAGTGAGAGAGAGAGAGAGAAAGTGAGAGAGAGGCTGACAGAAAGAGAGAGAGAGAAAGAGAGAAAGAGAGAGAAAGAGAGAGAGGCGGAAACCTCGCGCGCACGCAACAAAAACGGCGGCGTGGGGAAGTAGCCCCAGTGTTCCCAGAGCGCGCGCGGGCTTTTTCCAGCAGCGCGACGGTGGTTCTCGGGAGGAACGGGGAGGGCGGAGAAGGAAGGGCGGGGGAGGGAGGAAAGGAGCTCGTCGTCGTCGTCGTGCGGAGGAGGAGGGAGATCGGCGGCCACAGAGGAGGAGGGCGACGGGCGGCGCCCCCGTCCGCTCCACTCGAACACGACACCGCCGCCTCCCGGTCCTGGCCTTCAACATTGAGACCTCCATTGAGCAGCGCGGGAAACAAAACCGCGTGAGGGAGACAAATAAAAAAAACGCCCCGAGGGAACACACAACAAAACACATAGCAGAAAGAGAAAACGTCGAGGGGAAACACAAAGAGAGGCTTGCCCTGAATCGCGCGCGCTCTGCCAGTCAGGCGCAAATCGGGGCAGGAGGATGGGGGAAGACTTCATAGAGAAGCACCTCTGCTTATTAGAAGGCGCGGGCCTCGTTCGTAGATGTATGGTTGGCGCGTTCTAAGGAACGGCCTCCCTCTAAGAAGCCTTTCCCCTTCCCACCTCCTTACTCCTTGGTGCGCGCCGCCAGATCGAGACCTCCAGACTTCCCCCGGATCGCGCTCTGGCTGCCTCCCGAAGCGCATCTGGGCCGCGGCGGCGAGGGGGCCTCTGGAAGTCCAGGGCTCGACGTCTTGTATGTTTCACATGCGGGGTCCCTACCAAGTGAAGAAGCCGCCTTGCATGATGCAGAGAACTTGACATACCTTCTCACGGCCGAGAAGGAGAAGAGAATGAACGATTGGCTCTTATTAAAGCTGTGGAGGAGAGCGAGCACAGGCAGGGGCGAGGCGAGAAGCGCGAGCACAGGCAGGGGGCATCCTGGAAGCCCTCCCACTCTACAGGAGCTGTCTAAACTGCGCCCTGGCAGGACAGAGCAGCACGTTGCCTTCATGTGTGGGCATGAAGCGATGGCGTATGGGGGCCTTCCGCAGAAGCCTCCGCTCCCCTCCACGAGGCAGCCCATGTCCTCTCCGAGGCCTCCCTCCCTCGCGCGCCGCCCCCTTGGCTGCGCGCAGCCCCCTATGCTGCGCGCCGCCCACCGCAGCGCCTCCTCGTCGATTTCGCCGTCGGCGTCGTCGTGATCTTCGTCGTCGTCGTTGTTTTCGTCGTCATGCTCGTCGTCGTCATACTCGTCGGCTCCAGCCGCCGCCAGCGCTGGCGAGGAGTGCTTGACCACCACCGAGGGCGCGGGTTTCAATGGCGATGCTCCCGCGTGGTCCCCCACGCTGCTCAACCGCTTGTGCTGGGCGATCGGCTCCATCAGCGGGGCCATGCCCGAAGGCGCCGGGGGCCGCCTCCGCTCGAGCATCGAGGGCTGATGTGGTTTTTGGGCGTCAAGCGGCCACACGAACTATCATTTGGGAGCCAGTCCTCGGCGATACAGTACAATACGTTCCCCTTCTCACCTCATCCCCTCCCCCCCCCACCTCTTTTGTGCTCGCCTCTTCTCCCACCGCAATGCCGCTTGTGCCCAGCCGACGAGAAGCGGTTCTTGGTCTCTGTCATCAAGGACTTGCTAGGCTTGTGCGAGATGAAGAGGGGCAAGGAGAACAAAGCGGTCGTGGCCAGCAACATCATGTACGTCGTCGGCCAGGAGTCTTGGCCCTCCAGGGATGGGGAATATGCGTACCGCACCTGCTCTGTGTGTGTAAATTCGCGCACGCGTGTGCGCGGACGCGCACGTGTGCAAACCCACGCTGTCGCCGCCAACCGAAGGAAGAAGCACGGGGACCATGGCCAAGATGTCGTGGGATCTTGTCTGTGCCGATCTTGGTCATGGTCCTTGTCGGCCGTCGCCGACTAGAGAGGATGGTGTGCGAATTGACGCTGACCGAGATCGACTCTGATCAAGATCGAGAGGGCGTTTCCGCGTTCAGTCTTGGTCGGAGGACGGGCAATGGGGGGCGATAACTTTGGGGGCAGCGTGGGCTGCAGAACGGGGCCCTTCAGGACCCCGAAGGGTGCCCTTTCGGGCCCAGGAGGAGGCCTTTGGGGGGCCCGAAACGGGCACCTTTCCGCCCCCCCATTGATCGCCCCCCATTAATTCGCGCCCACTGGGTCATGGTCCCCGTTTCCTTTCCTTCCCCTCCAGCCAAGCCTTGAGGTTGCCAGGTGCACGCGGGCCAGGCGGTGTTGGCACCCTGCAGCTCGGAGTGGGCCGGCAGAGCCGCCGCCGGCCGGTGCTTTGTGCGCCCTCTCTCTGCGCAGGCGCTGGCCCTCTCTCCGATTGCTCGCTGCTTTTTGCGGCTGCTGCCTTTTCCCGCGCGTTCCTCATCCCTCCTCCTCCGTCCTGCTGCTCCTCCTCCTTCCTTCCTCCGTCCTGCTCCTCCTCCTCCCTCGCTTCGCTCGCGCCCCGTCGGCCTCCGCCACCGCTGCCTCTGGCTGGCCTTTGGAGCGGATTCAGCGTATCGCTATGGATCCCGGCCGCCTTTCTGCGAAGCCACGCGCAGTTTTGAATTCATATTCGCATGTTGGTGTCGCTCGTCCCTCACCGTGCGATTGCATTGTGTGGCTCCAAGCCTCCTGCAATGCCCAACCCATCACCCTGCGATGCAGGCAGCAGTGCAGCAGTCGGGGTCCCGTTGCTAGTCCTATTGCGTCTCCTGCTACCGTGCCCTGCCGATGCCCGTTCCCTCTTTGGTTACTAGTCGCCTTATCTTTGGTTGCTAGTCGCCTGCGACTTGTGCCTGGTAGAAGATTGGGACAGTTGTACCTTCCGCATAGCGTCACATCATGTTACCCGATGGCTCGCTTGTACGCATCTCTGTTCGAGGTTGTCTTCCCGGGCCTGACGTGCCTTGTTTGGTTACAGACACCACGATTTTCGCGCCATTTTGGCTGCGTTGGTGCGTACTCTGAAGCTGCGACGGTTCGCTGGCGCTGTCAGAGTCCAACCTCTCCCTACGGTATGCAGTCAGGCGATAGCTTGCGCGTCTCTCGGACGCTTCTGCTTGAGCATGGTTCAGACACCCTGGGACCCTATGGTACGCCATTCGCTGCGCCGAGGTTTGCAGACTCATTACTGCTCAGATAGTGTACCCAAGCGGCGTACTGCTTGGCCATGGCCTCAGACACCTTGGGGTTATTTGCATCGCGCCATTTTGGCAGCGTAGTTACAGACTCCCTGGGTGCAGGTCCCTGGGCGTCAGACACCCTGGGTTGCAGCACCCTTGCACCCGCCGCCCCGGCGCCGGCCGCGGCCCGCGCGCGCGTCCGGCCAATTAGTTTCGGCCGCAGCCCGACCGTTACTCGCCGCCGCTGGCGCTTCCGCCCGCGGCTGTAAAAAATATATATCCCCACCGGCCCATCCAGAGACGATGCCCAGACTCTGGGCATCGTCTCTGAGAGGAGTTGCCTCGATAGAGAGGCAGTCGTCTCTGATCGAGGCCACTCCTCAGAGTTGCCTCGATCAGTGAAGTGGGTAGCACACAAAGGAATGGTCCCTCTTGGAGCGCTCATGGGACACTATTGGGCGCTCTTGGGGCTGTCTTGGGGCTCTCTCGGGCCTCTCTTGCGTCTTGGGGGCCTCTTGGCTGTCCCGGGTGCCTCTTGGAGCGCTCCGGATGCCTCGGGGGGCCTCTTGGGGCCAATTAGAGCGTGATTTACCTACCCGCTTCCGTTGCCAGGCAAAACCAAGTCATACCACGCGCCTCCTCGTCAAGCGGCCTGACCAGTGCAGGCCGTAGTTTGGCATCGCTGGGTATCTCTTGGAAGCGAGGGTGGTCAAAAGCGAGGTAGGTTTGTTTGCCCCCAAAAAAAAGCTCTTGGGTTCTCTAGGGGGTCTCCAGGGAGCCTCTTGGAGGCCTCTTGGGGCCTCCTTGGCGCCTCTTGGGGCTCTTTTGGGGCGTTCTTGGGAGCTGTTGGGACGCTCTTGGAGCCATCTTGGAGCACATGGATCAAAGATGGCGGAGGCGAAAATTAGCGCCGCCCCTTTAGAGTGCCTAAAATGCCGCCCAGAGTCCTCTTGAATCGGTCTTGGAGCGCTCTTTGGCGCTCTTGGGGCCGTCTTGGGGCTCTCTTGGGCCTTTCCTGGGGCCATCTTTGAGACATTTTGAGGCTTCGGATGGCCATCGAAAGCGAAAAAGGCGAGAAAGCAAAAACAGCATCGATTGTCCTTAGATGTTTTAAGGGTTTGGGCATACTGGTGGCCTCCTTTGAGGGACTCCGTGGCCACTTGGAGCCGTCTTGGAGCTGTTTTGGGGCCTCTTGGAGCATCTTGGAAACAATCTAGGAGCATCTTGGAGGTTATCTTGGGCTCTCAGAAGCCTTCTTCGAGCGATGTTGGGCAACGTTGGACGCTCCAACCCCTCGCGGCACCCCCAGTCCATGTCCGCGGGATGGGGCAGGGGGAGGGGTAACCCTGCGCCCCGGGTAAAAATGTACCCCCCTCCTTAACCCCCTATATTTTATCCCTTGTCAATCTGATTTAATTGTGGAGAGGGGCGCGGAAAACAGATCTTAATAATCCCAGGGGGGAAGTTGCGAGTCGAAGTTGCATCTCGGGTTGACTAACAAGCATGGCCATGGTGGTCTCGCCATTTCAGATTCCGCAGTCACGAGCGTGTGGCAGGGCTGGCTGGGACTCTCACCATTTCAGTTTGCCCAAATCCCGAAAGCGCGGCAGGGCCATGGGATTTTCACTTTCTCAGTCGTTCCTGGGTCAGGAACGCGCGGCAGGGCCAAGGGGGCCGATTGGACTTTGAAGTTCCATGCGTTTTTCGAGCAGGCAGAGCATTGGAGTTATTTTTAGTTCTTAAGCGCATCCCTCACGCGGTTCGTGGCCCCTCCTCCTCCTCCTCCTCCTCCTCCTCTTCCTCCTCCTCCTCTCCTCCTCCTCCCCCTAGCAACTGCCCAGGCCCGAGCTTCCCCGAGTCTCCGAGACTCTAAACTTACGAGCCTCTTCGAGGCACCGAGCTGCACCTGCCCCAGGGGCAACGATAGGGGGGGATATGGCGTAGTTAAATGGATGCATCGATCCCAAATCGCCCATCGATCGCAGAGAGTGGCTCGATAGCCCCAACCTGCCCAGGAACGCGCGGATTCACGATCGGGCGCGCATCGCGGATGCATCGGCGACGCATCGCCGATTCCGGTCGATGTTCCCCCCCCCCCATGCCAGTCCCCCCGCGCCATTGCCCTCGAGCGCGTCGCGAGCCTCAGCCGTGTCCCAGGCCGCCGAGCGCGCCCGGGCGGCGACCCAGCCTGTCGCGGCCCTGTAAGGGGCCGCGAGCTCGAATTCGAGCGAGATTCTCGAGCGCATGGCCCATCAGAACGAGAAGATCCTCGACGAGCTGTCCCTCATCGCGGACAAGATCTCTATTGCCGAGATGCGCCAGTGCCAATCGAGCGCGCAATGCGCTGGCGCAGCAAGAATGACGGCCTGCTAGCAAGCCGCCCTCGAGATGGCACGCAGCGGCGGTTCTCTTAGGGGCACCGAGCACGGACGCATTCTCAACGAGAAGGACAAGAGGCGCGTCGAGCTGGCGGTGGCGTTTTTCGAAAAACGACCCACTGCGAGAATGACGCCCGCCTCTGCGACATCTGCGAGGATCGCGGAGGGCCGCCCGAGAAACTTTTCTGGTTCATGCCGAGCTTCAAGTCGAAGGTGCCTGAGCTTGCCGCGAGGAAGAGCATCGAGCTCGGCGCCGAGAACGCCAGGCGCCGCACCTTCGGCCCGCGCGCCGAGCGCGTCGGAAAGGCCCCCCCTACATCCCCGCCGAGCTCCTCCACCCCCGCGACGTCGCGCTGCCGATCAACACGACATGTTGAGCCCGTCGAGAAGTGGGGCGACGACTTCTCCTCCGGCGCGCCAGCCGATCAACTCTTCGAGATGATGCCCCACAAGCCCAAGCAGTTCGTCAACTGGTGCCGCCAGATCGGCGTGGTGCAGGGCGTTGACCACGCGCGAGCCACCGCGCGGGCGGTCGGCAAGTGGCGCTGGAGCCTCAAGCGCATTGCCGACATGGCCTACGAGCTCCAGGGGCGGAACAACCAGGACAAGCGCCCCAAGCATGACTGCGCAAGCGCCGCGAGGCAGCTCGACTATGAGACAACGGCTCTCCAGCAGCACAGCAAGATGAACTTGTAAGCGTTCGCCCAGATCCACGCCGACTACAACGCAATGACCAACCAGCGCGAGCCCGAGAAGAGCAAGGCCGACGCAAAGGCCGAGCCAGTAGCCGACAAGTTCACGCCGGAGGGCGCCTGAGAGCCGAGCGGCGGCGAGCGGCGATGGCGCGCGAGCGCCCCGAACCAAGCGCCCCCGCGCTTTCCGCTGCGAGGGCGCCGCGCGAGCGCCTCGAGGCACGCGCCCGAGCCCCATCTGCTTTTCAAGCTCCAAGCGGGCGTTCGAGCACGCGCGAGCGGCGCTCCAGGCCACGGGGCACTACTCCCCACCTCTCTCCGATCGATCCTCGATCAAGCATCGAGCAAGCGGGCTCGAACTTCCATCCTCGGATCGAGGGCCCAAGATGTTGCGTCCGAGCATCTTCGAGCACCTTGGACCCTAGATCCGAGGATCGCCACGTTTGGACTCAGAGATCTCGGGTTCGCGATCCATCCGAGGATCGAGGATCGAGCCTCGGCGGTCGTCGA